AAGGGAGCACCCATAAGACTGTCATCTGATTTCTCAACAGAAACTTTGCAGACTAGAAGGGAGTGGCAAGAAATATTCAAAGTGATGAAAAACAAGGAACTACAACCAAGATTGCTCTACCTAGCAAAGCTATCATTTAGATCTGAAGGTCCAATAAAGAGCTTCACAGATAAGAAAAAACTAAAGGAGTTCATCACCACCCAACCAGCACTACAGGAAATGTTGAAGGGTCTTCTTTAATAAGAAGCTAATGAACAAAATTAACTGACCAACAAAATAGACCCAGAGAGATTGATGCATGCAACAGACTGATGCATTTCATGGGGGGGGGGTAACCAAAGTTCTTACATGCATATATGCAAAACCCATGGACACAGACAATTCAATGAAAGCTTGGGGAGGGAGTAGAGGGGGGTCAATTGGAAGAAAAAAAGGGACACCTGTAATACTTTCAACAATAAAGATAAATTTAAAAGAAAAAGAAAGCAAGAGAAAATTTATGAATCCAAAAGGTGGTTCTTTGAGATCAATAAATTGACAAAGCTTGCCTGACTGGTGTGGCTCAGCAATTGAGCATCGACGTATGATACAGGAGATCGAAGTTCAATTCCGGGTCAGGGCACATGGGCGGTTGCAGGCTCAGTCCCCAGTCCCGGGTGTGCAGGAGGCAGCCAATCAACGACTCTCTCATCACTGATGTTTCTCTCTCTCTCCCTCTCCCTTCCTCTCTCAATATGTCTCAATAAAGACATATTTTTAAAAATTTTTGACAAACCTCTGGCAAGGCTCACGAAAAGAGAAAGAAGACAGAAATTACCTATATCAGACTCTACATATATGAAGGAGATAGTAAGGGAATATTATAACGAGCTTCATGCCAATGAGTTCCACAATTTAGATGAAAAGGACTCATTCCTTGAAAGACACAAACTGCCAAAAGTCACCCAAAGAGAAAACCTGAATAGCCATGTATCTACTAAAGGAATTTAATTTGTAGTTGAAAAATCTTCCCAGAAAGAATTTTAGGCTCAGATAGCTTCACTGGGAAGTTCTACCAAACACTGAGAAAAGAAATATGACTTTTACAAACTCCTGCAGAAAACTGAAGAGGGGGGAATACTCCCCGATTCTTCTGACTTCAGGATCACCCAAATACCACAACCAAAGGCATGACAAGAAAACTGCAGACCAGTATATCCCGCGTGGACGGAATTGCAAAAATTCTAAACAAGTTTTAGCAAATCGAATACAATAGTATATAAAAATGAAAATATATCACGAGCAAAAGGGGGTTATGGTAGGAATGCAAGGCTGGTCTAACACCGGAAAGTCAATGTTATTGATCACGTGACTCTTTCAGCGACGATGGATCTCTGCCCAATCCACGATGGAGGAGGGCCACGTAGTCAGCCAGCCACCAGGGGCTGGCGGGTCACCCCAAGGCACGTGCCATGGAGGGCGCTCAATGTTTGTACCTAAGGGACCCCCACGGCCACCCCCTCTCCCGCCCGGGAGGGCCGCTCGGGGCCGACCCTCGGTCCCACAATACCCCGGGCCTC